TTTAGATAAAATCACGATCTAGACGGAGTTGGGACTATCTACCTGAAAGGGTCCGTTCTAAGCGCCAGGAATACAGAAATCTTAATGTACCTGTCAATGAAAGGGTATGTAGGACAGTTGTCTTCGGAAAGATTGCCAAGATTTGCACAAATTTTATTTATATTCAGAGTCCTCCACCGCCACCACTTAGAAGCAAGCCAAGAGGGCGTAATTCTGAGGTGCGTCCGTGCATTTTAGCTCATATCGAGCAGGCCTTGGGCCACATCAGTCATAAATGACGCTAGCATTCATTATCTGTCTTTCAGAAGTATCGTAAAGCAATAGCCGAGCGACAGCATCACCATGACCATGATGAATCTCCAAATACTGGGCTTGCTGCGAATGTGTTGTCCAAGGTTAGCAACAATCCAAGATTGGCTGAAGCTAATATCAGTTTTCAGGTACTGGGTTCTTTGGAGGAAAGGCGGAAATCAACTAGTGAAGCAGATGTGTCAGCACCCCATGCCGTCACTCTGCTGGAACAGCCTGGGCACGAACCTCAGAAAGTATGTGCCTATCAGCATTGGCTTTTAAGGAAATTTTTTGTATTCTGCACCCTCTGTTGATCTCAAATGTTCCTTCGTAGGCGAACTTACCAAGTACTGAGGAGCCGCTCAACGATGAGGATCTGGTGGATGTGAATGTGGATACATTCTTCTCTGACGCTTTGACAACATCGAACTCAGGCGATGAAGACGAGACTCAATCTCAGAAACTGCAGAAGTGGCAGAAATCGATCAGCGATGTCACACTGACGACACCAGGTGCATCTCCATCAAAAACCAAACGGCTAGAAATGGAGAAGCCATTATGCGAAGGAGAGTACGTGGTTTCTGAGTTGCCTAAGGCTCCAGATATGGCACCTTCAACACCTTCACCAGCTGTCCTAGCTGTTGAAGCGCTTATCACGCTGGTAGCCTCTGGCAGGACTTCGGCAGAGGCAAATACGCCTCTGAATGACTTCAACGAAGCTGAAATGCTTTGCAGTGAGAATCCTATGAATGCTGAAGATCCTGAAGACGTATGCCAGAGGGTAGAGACGATGTTAGATGCATTGCAGGTCTCTTTTGAAAGTCATTCGTCGATACCTTCCGAACTACACAGCAGTACGATTGCCTCCCACAATGAGTGCCTCCCTTACTTAGAGAGTAAATCAACCGCTGTTGCTTCGATGATTGATGCCGATGCTTCCCTTTCAAACGCACGTCAGGGTACAG